GTTTATTTACTTCCTTAAAGTGTGTATAGCGAGTATTTACATGTTATTTGTAAGAAGTATCCATCCTATATATATAGGATTTTTCTTGACCCCTAGAAACGAAGAAGTTTGTAAACATTTTGTTTTAAGGTGTTAGTTTCATAGTGGACAACTACTTACGTACACAGTACTCACATTTTTATAGTTTTTAATACTTGTATTATAATGTTTTTACAACATTTTAATATTTGGTTGATAAACCCTTATTTTTAATAACTTCTGCACATCTCTTCTGCGGCATCGATTCGATAAGACGAACACATCGATCAACTGGTATTGACTCCCACGCTTCTTTTATTGTATAGTATCATTCTTCAACATTTCTTGGTCTTTTTCTTTTTACATATTTGTTCACATCAATCCATAGCATTTCTATTGGGTTTAAATCCGGTGATTGTGTCGGCCATATCATTACATTGAAGTTACTGTCATTTAAAAATGTCTTAACGACCCGTACCGTGTGCTTCGAATCGTTATCTGCTTGGAAGATCCAGTTTTCCGGCATACATTCTTCAGCGAACGGAAGTAGTACATTTTTTACAATATTTAAATAAACAAATCTGTCCATGATCCCTGTTATTCGATGAATCGGACCTGTACCATTCATGGTCATAGAGCCCCGAACGAGCACTGATCCACCACCGCCTTTCAGTCAGTTTTGTACAATTTTTTTATATTCTTCTTCTTTTCGACATCTTACGTACACTTTTCCGTCAGATCCGAAACGATTGAACTTAGATTCGTCAGTAAAAATTACTGTCGACCATTGTTACAGTGCCCAATTAATATGTTCTTTCGCGAAAGCAATCCTGGTTCGACGATTCGTTTCTGATATGAAGGGTTTCTTTCTCGCAACCCGTCCATTTAATTGAAATTCGTTTAATCTGCGTCATACAGTCCTTACACTAATGCCTACTTCCAAATTTGCTGATATTTCATTGTAAATATCAACCGCTGTTTTAAATCGGTCAACTTCAGACAGCCGATGTATCTTGCGATCGGTCCTTGCATCAGTTTTTCGGGGTCTTGCTTTACGGGGAAGGTTGTCTGTTGTTCCATTTCGTTTAATATATTTTATAGCTTGATGAGAAGCCATCACAGATATTTCAAGTTCGGCTGCAATTCTTCGATATGACATTCCTTTCTTACGAAGTTCCTGCACTCGACACCGTTGTTCTGAAGTGATGTTTTTACGTTTACTCTTTACCGTACTATTATAACATATCTAACTACTCACACTATTCAATAAATACTATGGAATATTACATCGTAAGCACTTTTGACTTTAACGCATATAATCGCAGTGTACGTAAGTAGTTATCCGCTATGAAACTAACACATTGAAAGAAAATATTTACAAAATATTTAAATAAACATTAAAGGTTTAAATAGGAACTGTACGTAAATATATGACCGCCACTGTATGCACTTTGCACTTACAAATTTAGTGTAAGTACGTACAAATTCACGGTCCATAGTTATAACAATGTAATTTTCAAATAATTGTACAATTTATAAAACAATTTGTCAATAGGAATAATGAATATAATAAAAAGACGCGAAAGATGATTTAAATCATTCACTCCCTATACTGTTACAAAATATTGAATTAATTTCGGAGCCTACACGAAGTGATACACGCAGTTGAAAATATATTGTTCCTGTAAAAAATGTATAAAAGTAATTATATAATGTCAAATATACAATGTTAGATTCAATTATTTCATAACAGACAATATTGAGCAAATATAAATTGCTAATATTGTAAAAAAGTAAAAAAACATTTGTCACAGTCAATTTAATTTCGAAATTTCATTTAAACTTCTTAAACATAATTAATAAAAAGGATAGCGACATTCATATGTGAGATACAAGATAATTTTCTGGTGATCTCAATTCATTTTTGCAGTGCTAAATACCATTATCCCAAATAACATTGATCTTATGAATAACAGGTATTTTAAATTAAAGTAATCCTTTAATCTCTTCTCTTAATACTACGTAATACATGAAATATTCGGTGATACTGTTTTAAGCTTACCGCCTTTGAATATTTCTTTCGCGCCCAACAATGCTGCGAATTAATCGATAATGAATAATTTAACGTTTCCACATTTGTAATTCTCAAGATACTTTCTCTATATGCCATTTAATTATAATTTTCCAAATACATCTGATATAACTCGTGTGCATAGTCAGAACAGTTTTTTATACTGTATCTTTCCCAGAATGTTATTTGAAAACCTGTACTTTTTCGTATTACGTAGAAAGGTAATTTTACAGCGTGTAATTGTATTAAACCGCAAAGTGATGCACAATGTAAAACTTCGTTAAACTTCAAGTCGCGTGGCCGTAAAAGAAATCCGATTAAACTGATTGAAAACAGTGGACAATTCAGCCTTTAATATTTGAAATAGCAATGAGCGGAAATGAATTTTACGTATTTCATTTCATGGTTCCTTTTATTCCTCGTTCCTCCGACTATTTACGTTTGTGTATACATTATTTACGCAGTTATGGTTCTGGTTACATAGGCCACCTTGTATATGCACGCAGATGCTTGTTTTACTGCTCGTAGAGACTACAATCGCGCTGATGAACGGAGCGTTGGTATTGATTTACAAATTGCGAATATAATCGAATTGCTTCCTTGATGAGTACATTCACTCGTTATTTGGAGCGAAAAATCGTTAAAAATTCTACGCGAATTCTCCCATTCAAAATGAAAAAATATCTCTTTATAATCGACATTGATTAAAAACCTAGTCTGTTTTAAACAATCCTTTATCTCCGTTTCGAACACCATAAAAATTCTGTTTCAATTGTAACCACGGTAGTTGCGATTAAAACGTCGATACAAATTTCGTTTCCCTTGCAAAAAACTATTGTTGCACGTTTCATAAAGGTTTACAAGTGCACCTCGGCTGTCGCAAAGGCTCACGGTGCCCCGGTAAGCTAAATTCGAATTAAAAGGAGTTTACTTTCGAACGAATAATATTGACTTTAGCACGAAACTTCTTGATTGCTTTAGTGTTTGGTAAACAGTTTTGATTGCAAAAATAGCAAACTTCGGAAATAGAGGAAATGAAACGTGAAATTTCATGCGTCCCGTGGATCATGGATATTGTGGGAGTAAACAATCGGAAACTGCTTATGGGTTTTACTTTTCTTTCCCGTCGTGAACGAACTTATTATAACGAACTGCGATTAACTGCTGTTATCAGTTGCGTTAAAAAAAAACTGAATTACAATAAAAACCTTTTTTTTCATACATAGAAGCATTTGAAAGGATAATCCGCTAACGCTGAAATAATTCAGCTGAATTTCCAGAGTACCTGGGGTTTCGAAAAAATGTTACAATTTCAATTATCGCCTAGTGTAACTTTATTGAAATACCTTTGGTCTTTTCTTCTCACATTTTTTTCGTATACTTCAAGTTCCATTCTTTTTAGTTCACACTTTTAAAAGGGACGGAATTTAATATACTTCCCGAGTCTAATAAAACGGATAGAGCATGTAAACCTTTATTAAATCACCAGCACAATTGAAAACGCAGTGCAACGTAGCAGTTTATGATACATTGAATTTTTTATAGACTCAAATGAACAGAAGAGTATATTTTGGGGAGCTTTAGGACAACTTTAATTCAAATACATTCGTGATTTCTTTATAATGCTCGCAATTTCACTTACGTTTCTCTATCCATGCAAAACGCCAGAGACACGTTTTCGCTTGACTCTTCGCTCTTCATGGAAATTCCTTTGTTTACGAGTGACAGAGGTGGAAATTTGACGACCGAGCCATCATCCCGCTTTTAAAATCTTTATTCCGTGATTCTATTTATCTGTCTGTTTCATTACTGTTCGCATTCCGCTGTGTGAATTTTTAGCATATTCTAGACACACGATATACGCAAAACTATTAAAAAAAGAGAAATAAACAAACAAACATCGAAGTTCAAACATCGACAACGTATTAAACATTGATTAAAATAAGTTTGTTTCACGGATTATCATAGTTGTTTCTAAATTGGATTAAGTCATGACAATGATTATTACGTAATGATAATAAAAATATCTGGTTTCGTTAATACGAAGTAACAAACAATTAAATTTTAATACTTAATATTTCAGGAACTAAGTGTAATAGGATATTCTATATCAATAATAAGTTTATCACAAATTGTATGCACAGTAGGCGAAAGCAGGGTGAAACAGACCGATTAGATAATATGTAACAGCAATGCTTTTCATAAATAAATCGATTTGATAGATAAAGATTAATTGTATTGATGTATAGCAAATTAGAATCGAAGATGAAATAAAAACTGACCAATAGGTTTCAGTGCAGAAAAAGAAGATGACAGATTGATTTGTGATTTTGTGTCCATAAAATCATATGTATTTCCGGTTTATTCATATTAACCAACAATGAAATATATTCAACTAACAATTTTGATTTAGTAGAAATAATGACTTTGTATTGTTATATGTCACGTTTACCTGCCATTTTTGCGAAGTAGATATTTCAATACCTTTTGAAAATCGTATTTTCCTTCGTAACTAAATATTCTTCTTTAAAAAATCTTTTATTTTCCTTCTACAAAAAAGATTTAGAATTTCATACATTTATTGCTCCAGATACTTTATTGCGTTCGATTTTACCTTACTTTCCACTGTTACTTTAAATTATAGAATTTTTCTTGTCTCAATAAGAAACTTTAATAATTCTCAAATAATGAGATGGGAAAGAAAACTATTAAAGTAGCGTAAGTTTCTGAGAAGTACTTAATAACTCTCGACAAACCAGATCTACGTTTAACGATGATTAACTGATTATTCATTGGTAAATCTGATAAATCAAATTTAAGCACAAGTCATTGAAAAACCATTTTGAAACAAATAAACCACGTGACCTAGTAATTGATTCTAAGAAATTCATCACTGAACTGTTAATCGCAGATGCCTCGACGTGAGATTAACTCAATCGCCAAGGAAATCAATCTAAAGGAGGAAATTAATCTGAACGAGGTATTCCACGAGTTCTGCCGCGATTAAACCATCACATAACGCGGTGCTATCTGGAGATTGAGTATCTAACACGCTTTAGATTCTCCCATCGTTGCCAATAAAGAATATCAATGATGGTAGGAACATAAAGAACTCATATTCTTAACAATAATTGTACAGGAAACCAGTCAAATGACCGAATTTACAATTCTCCATTTTCTTTCTTGCATTTATATAACTTTATATTAATTCTTATGTTGTCCGATTAATCAGTTATTCAATTTTTATCTTTCCTTTTGTTTTTATTTCCAACAAAAAATATATGATCTAACATGTTTAACTTTATTTTGTAGCCCGTTATTCAACCGGTTATAATAAGAAAAGTGCCAGTACGGTTAGTATCAATACATTTGTATTATTAGCGTATATATACGCGGATTTTTCTGGTCTGTATCACCGGAACGCATATATGCACGCCATTTTTCAGGCATTATAAATAGAGCGCATATGAACAAGAACACGAATAGTTACACCATGTCCATGATTACCACAGAGATTTACCCGTTAACATTTTTCAATATTCACCGAAACAAGTTCATCGATGAAAATTCGCAAACGTTATATACCTTGTACATAAAAAAAAGAAAAGATATATTTTATCAGTGTAATAATTGCCGTGTGACTATATGCATTGGCCAATTCAAGTACTTTCATATTTGTCAAATTGTTATCTATATATTTATTTATATTTAATATTATAATATTATATATATTTTAAATAAAATATGTACGTATGCGTTAACTTTATTGTGCTAAATTAAATTATGACTTCCTTATTTACGCCACTCTGTCTTTAATTTTCTATACATTCTCAACCATTTTTGCTTTGATAAAATAAAAAGCATTTTTGGTGATAATAGGTTTATAAATTAATGATAAGGATCAATTTTCTACTTTTCCGTATGATGCGAATGGGTTAAACTCTTAACTGCCTTTCGAATGTAGATGAAAGCCTCATTTATTCGCGAGTAAACTTCTTATGACGGAACAGACTGTCGCGAACTGCCGGAAGATGGCAAATAATGTGATAGTTCAAACTACAAGCGACACAATTTCATAATTCCTTGACGCGCGTCACCATCACGTATCGACTTAATTTGAATCAGGCCATTTGTTTGTACTCCTTCGAAGTTCGCAGCGCCTCTTTCGTTAAACAAACCCATCACAGGCCGTCCATGTTGTTACAAACATCGTGAGCCTCCCGGCAAGTGCAAGATGCAAATTTCCTGTGTACCTCGTACACAAACAGTGGACAATGCAGGAACGCCAGGAGATTGTAAGTTCGTTACGCACCTACTGACCAAGCTACACTTGCGAGTACATAAGTCGAGCTTTCCTTGCTCTGTCCTCATTAGTTAATCAAGACCCTTAGCGGGATAACCGATGTCATTTCTGTCAAACGCAACAATTCTGTGTCTTCAAACCTATTCCGTAAATATTATCCCCTCTCGATACTTTTGTAATCTAAATTATTTAGTTATATTGCTGATATTTTTTAGGCTTTAAATAAAATGTACCTTAATTAAGTTATAACTTGAAGCATATCTAGCTCGTAACAACATTTTAATGAAAATGATACTTTAATGTTTTATAGTCCATTAGTACCTATACATTAATATATTATTCTATTCTTGATAGTTTCAAACATTATAAAATCTTCTTTCTTAAATAACTATTTTATTTCTCAATCCCAAAAGGACTAATTATTATAATTTATCTAATTATATAAAGATAGTGGACAATATTTATTAGAAAAAATGGTTTCATCTCTCAGGGATTTTGCTCTATAACAAGTTACTATATCTTCAAAACATAAAGTCTTGACATGTTTGAGAGATATAATTCTTGAATATCCCCTACATAATGTGGAGAATTAGAAAGTTGGTTAATGGGAGAAACTTAGATTTAATTGTTGCAGTATAATTTTCCCTCTTTAAACACAAGTTCTCTGGCACAGTCAAAATACAGGGCACATATATTTACGTTGTTGACCGCAGCGTTAAATCAACGGAACCGATCGTATAGCCCTGGGTCATAGGCGAAATAAGGCAAAGCCAGGAGAAGTCTTTCCCTTGTATGTCTTGCCAGCTGATATTCCCACTCTGCACAGTAGTTCACCAAAGAAGCCATCACGATTATTTTTGTTAGCGTAGAACTTCATTTAATGGTCGAATATTTTTTGTGTAATTGAACTTGTTTTCTGCATCAAATATAATAACATTGTAACAAAAATATTATAATATATTCTCATTCTTAAATGTATTAACATATGAACCATTATTTTTTTTCAGTAAAATAATAGTGTATAGTTTGAAGAGCATAGAATCATGTAAGATGCTGCGAGAGAACAATGAACATGTCCAAATCTGGAAAGACAAAAATATATAATAAGATTTGTTCAATTATTGGAAATATTAATTTGCAATGTTATAACCAAACAAACTATCGCATTTCTTTCTGGATAGTGAATTACAAAACATATTTATTAATTATCTCTATTCTTCATATTAGAAAACATCTTTAAACAAAAACATTTTTTTCATTATTTAATCAGTAACGTGTATTCGTATTAATCGCGTGAATGTAAAACTAAATCTTTAAATGTAGAATCTTTCGCAAAGATTACGAACTACATTTAATAAAAAATCAGAACTTAATATATTTATAATATTTGGAATGAAAGTGACTTGTATTTGATAGAAAAATCATTAAAAAATTGTACATATATGTATTACACATACAAATGATTTAAGTAATTTCGTATGGTTTACAACATTTGAATAACTATATAACTGAAATTCATAATATGTTTTATGTTTCTTATTTTACTCGATAATGACTACAATGCCAGCACAGTGCAACGTCAAAATGTTTAATAATTTAACAAATAATCGACATGTGTTACTAGGTAGTATCAAATGATCTTTCCGTCAATTGCACGTGATTATGTGAAATGTATGAAACGTGGGAATGAAAATCGAACATGTTAGATACAGGAAACAGAATTGAAAATGAAATGTGAATTGCCATGTCAATTAATGTAAATGTGTACACAATGCACTGTCAAAATGCCAAACGGAGAAAAATTATTGACAGAAATATATAATTCTGCCGACTTTTTAATTTAATTAAATAAGATGAAAACTCATAACTAAGAGTATCATATCATTTCGTTTCGTTAATATAATAATAAATATGTAACTGTTTCTGTAATTTTGTAATATATAAATATTACAGTTTTCAGCATATATTTTTTGAAAAATTGATAACATTACTTCAGTTAGGATAAAATAATATATTAAATTTGCATTATGGTTCTAATTTTCCTTCGTTTACAGAAATAAAATTGCTTACGAGAATGCAGCGGCTTCGGTGAAACAAGAATGCGAAGATATTTTGATGATCTCGCGAGAAACTACAGAGAAACAATTTCATGAACTAATCGAGCTTTATAATGGAACTAGAGAGAAGGTACTTTAAAAGCTTTACTGATTGTAAGTCCTTTGTCAAAACTATCGTGGATGATACGAAAATACTATGATCCGATTAAACTGCACGAGATTACCACGCTAAGTTATTTTTCAAAATACAAAAAAACTGTGAAGATAACTACAACGAAAAGTATATTGTTGAAAGTGACATTGTTTCAGGTGATAAGATATACGTAAAACTTTATTCTACAGTTCATTTTATTTAAGTAAAATCATATAATGCAATCAGGTGTGTGTGTTCAAAAACTAAAAAATAACCAATATAATAATCATAAAGATATATTTACATACTAATATTTTGTATGTATATTAACTAATAATATTATTATATTATTGTATTACTATATTATTATATTATTGTATTATTATATTATTATATTATTGTATTACTATATTATTATATTATTATATTATTATATTATTATATTATTATATTATTATATTATTATATTATTATATTATTATATTATTATATTATTATATTATTATATTATTATATTATTATATTATTGTCACATTTCAAGAAATTGCTTAAGCATAGTGTATCGCGTGATGTGGTTATTTTATTCTCCGTGGGAAAGAATGTTTTCAAGCCCTTCGTTGTTTGGTTATATTCAACGGCAAAAATACAAAAGATATTTGAGCTTTCTTGGGCACGATCATGACAGTAGCTCAAAAAGTTTCAAACGCAATAGCGGTGCCTACATGCATCGTAAACCAACATCAAAGCACTTTTTTAATTGATATGCATTCAGTCTGACGTTGTAGCCAGCTTTTTTACAGGCAATGCATCGTAAAAAGTGCTCTCTTTGAAAATGTCGCTTTTCTGATACGCGGAATCGAACTTGTCACCTTTTCGTTGCCTCTTGAATATTCAGCGTCCAAGCGAAATTCCAGGCGAACTCGGATGTGCACTTCCACGTGTTTGTGTCACCTTTCCTCTTCTGCTTGCGATTCTGCCATTAACCCTAGAACCCGTATCGTGTTTTTAATAAATAAAATATTATATGAATCCATGACATAATCTGCAAAAGGAATACCTAGATTGGATATGAAAAAAATTTAGAGCCCCTTACTTCATTTAAATGTCTTTTACTTTTATTTCGAAATCGTGCATGAAAAACTATAAAACCTTCTTCAAATATCATAACTAAATTATTCTTCGTATCATTCAAATTTAGAAAAAGATAATTAATAAAAAAGGTAAACCTCCTATTGTGGATAGATTCTTTGTGTAAATTCTATTTTTAAAAGAATTATTTATTTATTATTATTTTTCTAATTTAAACGAATTATTATCAGTATTAGATAAAAAGATATCGCAAATATAGAAAAATAATGCAACAGTAGAATACTGTGTATTATTTTAAACCTACTTATTTACAAAAGTATTAAAATAGCTTGCTTAAATGTTTCCGGACAGTACAATGTTCTGATTCATTCGAGGTCTCGGAGAAAAGTCATTGCATTATTGCAAAATGGAAAATCTGATCGTGAAATTGCTGCATCATTATTAATTGGGAAATCAACTGTTAGTGATATTATAAAGAAGTATCATGCAGGATATTGTTTAGAAGACAAACCACGAAGTGGAAGGAAAATCTGCAGGACACGTAAGAAAGACAGCTTCTCAAATGTATGAATTGCGCGAAGGAGTCGCTAATATTAGTTGTTCTACCACAACAAGACGACTACATAAAACGTTGGTCTCTTTGACTGAACAGGTGCAAAAAAACCTTTGATCAGTAAAAAAAATCGAAAGGCTTGTTTAACGTTCGCGAAGAAATATTTGCACTGGACAACTGAGGAATGGAAGAACGTCGCTTTCTCAGACGAATCGAAATTTAATTTATTTGTAAATGATGGAAAACAATATATGTACGATGTCCAATTGGTAGAAGGTACGACGCAAAATATCAAATACCTACTGCAAAACATGGCGGAAGAGACACAAAAATCTGGGGCGTATTCTCCGCTCAAAGGGTCGGTCCACTAATAGAAATTGAAGAAAATATGGAAGTACATAGAAAGTAACATATCTGAAAATTGGGTTTTCCAACATGACAAGGACCCGAAATACACTTCGAAAGTAATTAAATAGTGGTTATCATCGAAAAATATAAACGTTGTGACCTGAACTGCTCAATCCCCGGATCTTAATCCAATAGAACATTTATGGGGAGAGTTAAAACGTTAGCAAATTTAAACATAAGAAAAACGGAATTATTTAATGTTTTAAAGGAAGAATGGCATAAAATCTCTTCAGCTGTTATTTCGAAATTAATAGATTCTATGCCACAACGCTATGCTGCCGTGATTAGTGCAAACGGAATGACAACGAGATATTAACCCCTTGCACTCGGAAGTTCCATCACAGGGGACATTTTGAATGGAATGTTAAATCTTCCGAGTGCAAAGGGTTAAGAGTAATTTATGGGAACTAATAGGTTAACTTCTTTATAGTATGAAATATCTTTGATAAAATGACGTGTCCGGAAACTTTTGAACAGATTCATTCAACAATTTTGTAAATATGTACATATGAAACAATGAGCATCCTTTATTTTCCATACGATTCTCTTTTATTTGGGACACCTTTTTAACTAAAATTAGTGACAACTCATTTTCATATCACTTTTGAAAAATACAACGAAAAGTATAACTATCCGAAAACTTTTGCAGGCAACTATAGTAAAATGAATGTAATTAAACTCTTGGATTCTTTGCAAATTATAATGGATACACACTGACGTTTAAAATAATTACCCAGTACATTTCAACCTGATTTCATATAATGGTTTAACATGATTCGAAGACAAAAAATTGATCTTTACTAAAATCATTACTTTATTGCGTTCTACATATTCGTGCATATAATACATCTATTAAGAATTCTTCATCCAAAATATTCACTGCGGGGTACAAACAACCTCGGTGATATACACATTCCTGCGACACGGTTTCGTACTAACACAATTAGAGAATTTCGAGACCCTCATATAACACGCTATTCTCGCAAAAAGATATACAAAATTCAAAACAGAATTTCATAAATGCATTGCTCATGCTACGAAAATAAGTAATTCTTAGAAAAAAATAGCAGACTTTTTAAGAAAATTTCGGCATACAAATAATGATGCTATAGAAAAAAATGCGGAAGATGAAAATAATTAATAAGTAAAATTACTAATGCTGTTAAACCTTAATAATTATTAAAATCATAACGTGATACATAGCTGTTATCTGTATATATTTAACATCTGTAACATACAAAATTTATTGACTAGTGTTAATGTGTCATTCATATTCATAGAGCTTCTTTAATTCAATTATTTGACGTTCGGTTTGTATATTTAAGTCTGACTCGTTTTGCACATTTTGGGTATAAATGACAATAATAGGTTAAAGAGAAACTATTTGTAAGAAAGGAAGTTTCGTTGGCGAGAATTTCAAGAAATTTCAGACTAAATTTTCTCTGCAGTCGGAAGCATGTCAGCTAAACGTCTTTCGTAATTACTGGAAACTACACGTCAGGTGCAGGTATTTACCTGTATAGCTTCGGACCTGACAAAGATAATAGGGAAGTTCACGAGAAAATTGATTACTTCCGACTATACGGATTAACCGATTGCTTTCAGAGCAACCTGCTTACAGGTATTAGAAGTATAAAAGCTGTAGTAATCTCTTTCGTAAAGAAGTTGTCTTTGTTGTCAATACAAAATTAAATAGTCAGAAATTACAGTTTAAAGCATATTTAAAATATAAAATTTTTAGTTACAACTGAAACCAAATTGACTCTAAAAGCAAATACAAAGATAAACTAATCAAAGAAATTTGTATACGAGCATATTTGTTACAGTGTTCTGACCTGATCCCAGGTAAATACCACCATAAAGAGACTTAACGACGACCGCCATAAAAATGCAGATGCTTGGGAACGGTAAAATGTCTAAAAACAGTTTTTCGCTCCATTTCCACATCTGCCAAACACACCACTCAGAATATTCCCCATTGAAACACCTTCACCAGAAGAACTGAAGTCGTGAACTCCAAAACAGCACAAGTTCACTTTTTAACATTATCCGTATAAGTAACTGATACAATAGTTAGATGACTCCGACATGTTTGATAATATTAATTAAAGTGCCAATGGAAATTTTTATACAGACTCAAGAAATGCCAAACAATTTTAAACAAACATACATGATTATAAACAAAAATTTATATTTCTATCAATTTTGATCTGAAGTTCGTTGCAATTTTTTAAAAGGGAGGCCAATATAGAATATTGCAACAGCAAAGTATACAAAGTTATCTAAAAGATATGTCCAAAGTTTCATTTCAATTCATTATATCTAAATAAAGTATTTTGGAGTTTATTTAGATTGTTTCACTTACATATTTAATTACGGAATAATGACCGGTGATATGGGATAGCTTCTGCATAAAATTGCCGGTCAACAATATGTTAAGTAAACTATAACCCTTTTCAGTTGAATGCAGCCGTATCATACCATATCTAAAATCGAAAACTGCAAATGAATAATTCA